CCCTATAGCAAAAAAACTCTCAAAAAAAAAAAAAAAAGAATAAAAGGAGGCTGTGGTTTCCTCTAACCGATAAATACTTTAAATTGGCTTCTAAGTTAGAATACATTTTATTCACATGGGAAATTATTTTTAGCTTCTCCTTGTCTTCTATTTAATATATTTTTGCACATTCTATTAGTAGATTTGATCATTTCAATTTTTTTAGCTTATTTTTCTGGAGGTCATGTGTCCTTACCAGTGAAAGAGAAAGAGAGAGAAATGTGAGAAAGCACCCCTAGGGGCCGCTCAGGCTGCAGTCCCTTCTCTGTTCCTCCTTTTGGGATTTTGGGCACGCACTCACACATGCCTGGTGCGTTTTTCAGGCTGCCTGGTCTAGGACTCAGACAGCACAGTTGGCATGTGGGACCTGCCACCTTAACCACCATGCCACTGGCTGGCCTCCAGCTGTTTCACTCTACTCACATCTTTTCTATCTTTTGAAAATAGAACTTTACTATTATTAATAGTGCCTTGTTTTCAAGGCAGTTCTTTATGAAGGAATGCTTTCATTAGAACATCACACATGAAAGTGCCTTTTATCTTCAGAAGAAAATACTTATGTGCATCCCAGAAGGTCTATCCTATTAAAACAGTATCTGTTTAGTTTAAGTAACAAAAGGGATTTCTGTAGCAATTTGCAAGGTTAAGAAAAATGAATGATAAAATGAGCTTTTAATTAATAAAACATCAAGGAAGCAAATTGAAAACTCGTGACAGGTGAACATAGTAATCTTATTCCTACTTACAGTTTAAAAACATACTAATGTCTATGTAAAAATCAATGTTATGCATAAATAGGTAATAGAACTGAGGGACCAGTAGATGGGATAGTGGTTATGTCACTGGACTCCCACGTGGCCGACTGTGGTTCGAGTCCTGAACCCAGCGGCTTGAAACTTATGCCGTGCATGCGTGTGCATGCGTGCCCAAAATCCTGAGAGGAGACTGGAGGAGAAGGGATTGCAGCGTGGCCATTTCCCTGGGGTGAGTGCTCACTGTCTCTTTCTTCGGCAAGCGCACGTACCCTATAGCAAAAATCTCTCTTAAAAAAAAAACAAAAAATAAAAAACAAAACCAGAACTGTAAGTATATTTGCAATGCATCTTTGTGGAAAATACTAGGTCATCGACCTAATAGCTTTTACTATATAACAATGTTTTGCTTCTAAACTCTTTATATTGTAGAAAGAAAAAAAAAATGGTTTTTAAACTATAGGACTTGGTTTTAGTTTCATAACCTGAAGACATTTCTATTAGAGATGACCTCAGTCGCAGGTCGCGTCCAGTTTTATGAAGTACCGTCTATTTGTCGTCCTGTAGCTGAAATGTGTTGCGTTGCGCGGAGTTAGACTCTTTGACTGTCTTAATATGAAAAGTGTATACAGAAAAAGTAGGAGTGGTTGAGTAGAGGGAACACCAGCAGCTCTTTAAACGATCCTTTAGTATCCAAGCTATTGGGAACTGTGAGTTATTTTAGTACGGAAATATTTTACTGTTTTGTATTTGAAATATGTTGGAGTCTTTTTGAAAATGCATTTTTAAATGTTATGATACGTTTATGTGAGATTTCTTAAGAGAAAAGCACCCTGTCACACACCCTGGGGATGGCCCTGCTGCAATCCCTTCTCTGTTTCTCCTTTTGGGATTTAAACATGCATGTACGTATGTGTGCTCAGTGTGTTTTCTAAGCCTGTGAGTTCGGGACTCGAACCATGCAGTTGGCCATGTGGGATCCAGTGACATTAACCGTCGTACCACTAACTGGCCTCAAGAGCATTTGAAGAAGAACATACTCTCTTGTAAGGGATCATTGTAAATAATCTTGTTTTTGCTTCTTATATAGGAAAATTTTAAGTGAGTTAAAAGTTACTATCTACGTAAGTTTTATAAATGGTATTATTTATATGCCATTATCAGTAAGATTAATTGAAAAGCTGTTTTAGGTTTATTCTAAAGTGTTCGGTATGTGTTTTCCAGCTTCTGAATTATATACCAAAATTCTGCAGTAGAAATTTCGATGTTTTTTTTTTCTTGTATACATTAAGGATGACTGTTTAAAAAAGTTCTCACAGTGTAATTTGTAAAGCGCAGTGCGAGCTTGTCTTTCTGTTGGATATTTATGTTTGTAGATTAGAAGAACTGGCGGTGATCTGTGCTAATTATGGCATCCCACATGTAGTCAACAATGCTTATGGAGTGCAGTCTTCAAAGTGCATGCACCTCATTCAGCAGGTAAGAGAGTTTAAACCCATACGACAAGAAAAATTAGACTTAACATGCTACAAGATTATGACTTTTTTTTTTTTTTAAACACCCTAACATAAGAAAAATGGTTGTCTATTTCCTTCTACTTCAAGGAGCATTTGAATCTGGTGTCCAGTAGTCTTTCAGCAAAAGTCATGATTCTTTTTTAATTAATTTTTTTTTTTTTTAATTTGCCAGAAGGCACATGTGCCTGACAGATGGAGAGAAAAGCTGAGCATATTTTTCAGGCCACCAGGTCTGGATTCGAACTGCGCAGCTGGCCACGCGAGATCCAGCTGCCTTAACTACTCTGCCACCAGCTAGCCCAAAAGTCACGATTGTTTGGTACTGCGATGGTAATTGCTAGTCCAGAGTCAGCATAGGAATCCTTCAGTAGCTTAGTTTTTCACTTTCTGAGACTTTTCATCACCAGAATTCTAGTTTTTCTAGGGTACTGCATCCAGTGTTTGCAAAACTGAATTGATGATTTTATTTGTAATTAAGGAATCATTTTACATTATTATCTTAGACTGGAGATGATGTCACTTATAATCATTTTTGCCTGCAACTACAGAGTTGACAGATCTTTTTGTTTTTGTTTTTTTTATAAGCATCACCAAGACCCTGGTCATCTTTCAGGTCTAAGCGTGGAAGTGTGTCTGATGCCCCAGTAGTTTCATCTTTGATGTAAATATGGTGCAGATGATAGGATAGTAATAGCCGATCTGCTTAATTTCTTTGCTCAAAGGTTGTATGGATGTGTCTGGCTTCAGGTAACAGAAACTCACATTGGCTTAACCATGAAGGAATGGGCTGGTGTGTGTAACACAAGTCCAGGATGGACTGGGTTATAGACAGGGCACATCATGATTTGTTTAAACCTCTAGAGAAAGACTGTTTTATCTTGATTCTCTTTAATAAGCTTGAGCAAAGTTATTGCTTAACATTTTAGGCTTCCTCACAATTCTAGACTAGGTTATATCTAATTTGTAAGGTAGCGGAGGAAAAGTATACAATTTTCTTTTTAAGATTTTAGCCACAGGGTGCGAGCGCTTGCCAGAGAGAGAGACGAAGTTACTATCTACGTAAGTTTTATAAATGGTATTATTTATATGCCATTATTGGTAACATTGATTGAAAAGCTGTTTTAGGTTTATACTAAAGTGAGAAAATGAGAAATCACCCCCCCAACCCAGGGATAATAGGGGCTGTCGGATGGTGATCATGTTGCAATCCCTTCTCTTCTCTTCACCTCCTGGGATTTTGGGCATGCACACACACAGATCTGGTGTGATTTTTCAAGCCGCCAGCACTGGGAATCGAATTGCAATTGGCCATGTGGGTGTCTAGCACCTTAACCACTATGCCACCTGCTGGCCCCTACAATTTTCTGTGCTAGAAATCTTGATAAACATTTTATTTCACTAATTCGTTTTGATTCCCCCTCTCCCTTACCCTTCTCCTCCTCCCTAATTTTTAGCAGCCTCAGTTCTTTTAAAAGTCAAACATATCAGCATTATTAAAAGTTCAGAAAAGTGAGAAAGGAGTAGATCATTAATCACCCTTTACCTTAACAAATGCCCTTCATCACTTATTTGTCCGCCTTTTCTGGTTTTCATGAGTATATGGTTTTTATGCATCTAGTCATTGTATACATTTAACATTTAGTTTTTACAGGATAGTGTTACAGTTCTGTATTCTCCACATACCTAGTCTTCATAATGATCGGTTTAATATTCTTCTGTAATCACTTGGGTGTTATTTACTTAACCCAGCAGTGCTCAGTGTTGTGGAGTTTACAGCATTTTTCAATACTAGGGAATTCGGTGGCATACTTGGAGAGATAAAGTCTAAGAGAAAATGCGCCCAGGGTGTGATACGGAAGGTGCCCTTGGAGCTGAGCATCGCCAGTCCTTGGCTCTGTCACTACTCTCCACATAGCTTCATTTTCTGGGCGAATGAATTTTTAAGTAAGAAAGGCGGATATTTAGTAGTATTGCAGACACTGTATTACCTTCTAATCCTTCTAAAATGGGCATATTTTTTAAAAAACAAAACAGTACGTAAATATTCTGCCTCTCCCCACATTACCCTCACTGACGAGGTTCTGGCGGTCTTGCTTTAAACCAGGTAAGTGCTGGGGTCTCCCTGAGTGCCGGGTGCTGTTTGATGGCATTCTGAAACATCAGCCGTAACTCGCCTCGGCATCCCACCGCTGCTAGGTGCTCTTACTTAGTGCTCGCTGCGTGGCCGGCCTCCTGCTAGACTATCAGAGTGTGTCGATTTAAACAACTGAAGTGTGCTCCCTGTTGTCATGCCCCACCTCAATACCGGACGTGTCAAGGGTCCCGTAGCTACAGAATAGACCATCCGATTCCATGAGGTCCCTAAAGCTCTGTCTTTTCCTCTAAAAACACAAAGTTCTAAAACGGCAAATCCCTTCTTGGGAAACTATTATAATACTGCAGTCATCAGCCAGTGAAGAGAAAGCTGTAACTGAAATACCTGCGGTTTGTGAAGGAGACGCTCCAGAGGGACTCTGTCCTGAACGTACAGATCATCCCGGTACGCACATGTAGTCCCTGGGGAGGTTGGCTTTGAAGAGTTTATATTTCTTCTTTATAGTTGCTAACATGACTGATGCCGGAGACTCAGAATATGGCTGTTAGGACAGAATACAAGAGGGATATGGAGTAGTGGAGTCACAGAAGTGTGTATTATAGGACTACTTTACAGTCACAATGGATTGTGAAGCTCCACATATGGCGCACGGCAGCTTTCATGAAGAGTTTGACAGAGGGGCCAGCAGGTGGCATGGTGGTTAAGGTGCTGGATTTGTACATGGCCCACTATACAGTTCAAGTCCTGGACCCAGCGGCTTGAAAATTACAACAAACAAATGCAACAAATAAATAAAAAAAATTTTTTTAAAGAGTTTGAGAGAAGTAGGTGTTACCACTTATTATGTATAGACCTGTCTGTTTTTTGCACAAATATCGACTGGGTTCCCACTAACGTACCAGGCCTCAGGGTACTGAGGTCCTGAGCCCTCACGGAGCATTCCTGTTTTGTAGAGAAGAAGTACGCAGTAAACACTATGTATGAGAAGTCTAGAAAAAACACTCCGACAATGGGGGGGGGGGGGAGGGGTCAAGAAGAGGGTGGCCCAGCAAGGG